AGTGGCCTGTGTGAGGACTTAGCAAATAAAATTTCAACGCAGAAAATTTAGTAAGAAAAAAACGCAACCTGTCATCTATAATCCTAGTCGCCTATAATCTTACCATTTGGTGTTAAACATTGTTTGGGTAAATCCTTCTGTTTTTTAATCTATATAAATATGCATAATTTTGTAACAAAGTAGAATCAATCTGTATATTTTGTTGGTCTTTTCACTCAGTGATGCATGGAATATTCTGTAGATAATAAACATTATATTCAGTATTATTTTTAAGGACAATATACTATTTCATTTCATAGCCCTAATGTCATTTATTATTGGTTTGGGGCTATTTCTAATCTTTCACAATTAGCTGAATAAAAATACACATTAACTCCTCGTGCAGCTTCCTAATTGGGGAGGGCATATGTGTCATGTGCAAGTACAGCCCTGCGTCTGGTGCTTGCCTCCCATCCTAGTCCTGCCTTTTCAGCACGACTCCATCTGATGTCTTTGTTCCAGACAATTCTTCCCATGCTTGCCTGCCGCGCCCCAGGCCGTCTTCTTCTGAGCTCCAGTGAGCCAGATTGACTCAGGGGAAATGTCATGAACAGTTTTCCGGCTGGCTTGAAGTGAAACGTCGCATAACATGGTTGCTCAGAAAGCCAAGGGGCTATGACTGATGCTCTTGCCACGTCAGAGAACAAGCCCCTAGTGCTCTGGGTTGCTCCTTTTGCATTGAGCTGCACTGTCCAATACTTTAGTCTCTAGCCGTATGTGACCATTTAAATTAAATATAAGTAAATTTAAATTTAATTAAAGTAAAAATACGGTTCCTCAGTCTCACCACCACATTTCAAATGCCCACTAGCCATCTGTGGCTTATGGCTACCGTAATGGACTGTGCAGAGGACATTTCCATCAGTGCAGAAAGTTCTGTTGGACGGCACCAGCATGGAGCATCGCACTGCCAGTTAAAACGTCTGCATGGGGCCGGGTACGGTGGCTCACGCCTGTAATCCTAGCACTCTGGGAGGCCGAGGCCAGCGGATTGTTTGAGCTCAGGAGTTCGAAACCAGCCTGAGCAAGAGTGAGACCCCCGTCTCTACTAAAAATAGAAAGAAATTAATCGGACAACTAAAA